TGCACAGCTCCTCCAGTCTGTTATCCATGTGTCCGGCCTGGATCAGCTCTGCATCCTTCTTCAGCTGCCTGTAATCAGAAAATCTTCTTACTTATCACTGAACAATAAGCCCTGAGCGGCATTTTCACCCCAGCACCATCCCACTTAGGCCACTCTTTCAAGACGGGACTCTCAGGTGCACCGCAGCTTCATGCCTCTGCCACACACCTGTATTTCTCCTGTGTTTCTTTAATCATTTTCTTCAACTCCTCAACTCGTTCTGCAGTCAGTTTCCGCACAATAACATCTTCCACGGTTTCCACAACTTCTCCCTTCTCCCCACGTTTTCTCCTATAGAATAAGAGAAAACCAAAACAGTTCAGACATGAAACACAGAAAACCCCATTTCTCCTTTCATAAACGGCTGCTGTCTGTCATTCCTCACACAAACGCGCACAAAAAAAATCAACCTCCTCTTCCAGTTTCTCTTAAATGATATTGGACAGCACAACGTTCAAACAACCTCTTCTGAAAAGTTTATCTAATTCTTAAATGCGTCCAGTGTTAAAGACTTCAGGAATAGATCAAAGATGCAAGCCCACCGCAAATTCTCAACTTGAAAAAAAATCAATCGTTCAACTTCAGAGAAGACTCTTACTGCCCACAAAGAAACGTCTATTTTTTTCCTCAGTAACTCTACTAAGTCTTTTGTCTTTGCAACTCTAGTGCTGAAGATCATTCAGCACTATCACAAACCGATACTACTTTTAAACATCCTGCCTTTAATTTAATTTGATGCGAAGTCTCAAAACAAAATGCCTGGATTTAGGAGTGAGAAATATCTGAGACCACAAAGCTGTAGTGACAGCATTGACCACAAAATTATAACAAACCACCGCAAAATAGAGACAAGTACAAAACATTTCCCCTTCTCACTCTTGCTGTCTTTTCTACCCCTGTTCTGAATGATCATTTTATGTGTAAAGCTTCTGATCGGTAAGACTAATATGTAGTGTTTTATTCCAGGCAAATAAATGCTGCTTTTTGCTGTGTTAAGCCCCAAACGCACACTGCATCTCTTACAAATGGAGCGGTGGCAAAGCGGCCCCAATCACCCTGCCGTGTGTTGTAACGACAGCAGGGGCACACGGAAGACACTAACAAGTACACAGTGACCAGATTTACAACCATGTGCTACTGAAATACTTTGGTCTTCTGAAAAAAGGAGACAAGACAAGGAGATATGGGAAGCATGTTCTAAGAAATACCCTGGGCTTGCCAATCTCCCCCACCTGCCATACCCTGATCCCACCGTCCACCCACCCCAGCTACCACGACTGAATCTCCTCATTCCTGTACGCTCCTTTTGGGAGGAGCGCTATCAAGTCCTTTGCTGTAAGAACCGACAAGTCCACCCAAAACTGCCGCAGACTGCGCTTGCTTCAGGCTTTGTACTCACTTAGGGGTCTCTGTAGTCTCCAAGAGCTCTGAATACTGAGATGCACAGTGCTAAGAAGAAACAAAGAAAGTCAGAGGACACCAAAGGGTCAGCGTCAGCAAACACCTATCAACAAAGCCTACAGGGCACTTGCTCCTCCTTCTTCAGAGGTCTAACACTTCACGAACCTATCTGACAGTCTTCTCCAGACTCTCCCCCACGGCAACAATTCAGTGCAGTGCAAAGCAAGGAAGCATATTCACTCTTTTACGCTAGCACTGCCCAGGCTGATCTCCAAAACAAAGCTAAAGAACAGACGCTCCCAACTAATAATTTAAAAATCAAAGCAAGCAAGCATGATTAGGAAAACTGTAGCTGTAACGTTTCTGTCTGTGAACAGGAACCACAAATATTTCAATGGAGAAAACAAAATAACATTCTATCAAGGCCAGTTTCACAGCTTAAAGAAACTGTAAGCATCATAAAAACCCCAGCTTCTCCTCCCTTGATTCTCTTAATCTCTCTGTCCCTTATACAACAAAAATCCCAGGTGCTTGCCCAAACAGCAGGACACACCAAAATATAAGGGCATCCACAAATTCCTGGGGCAAGGAATTCCACATATTAATTACATGCCTGGCGAGGAACAACCTCTTTAGGTTTGCTCTGAACCTGCCTCCTGTCTTACTCAATAGCCTCTAAATCTTGTACTGGACAAACCACTAATCATTAATGCTTATTCATCCTCAACTTCATGCCACTTCTGATTATACGGACATCTGTCCTATCTCCGTTACTCATCTTACCCTTAGCCATCCCTTACAAGGAAGGTGTTTCATGTCTTTGATCATCCTTGTCTTTTCCTTAACCTTATCCAACTGTACTGTAAGCTCAGATTTAATTTCAGAAACAGAAAGATGTATTTCATCTGATTCATACAAAACTGATTTTTTAAAATTAATTTTGCTATCTTTTTTAAAAACAACAAATACATTATCTTAGGCAGCTGTCTTGCATATCCCATGCAGAACCCATTTTTTCCAAGACTCAAATGCCAGTATCTTACCTTCTGGGAAAACCAGTCAGGCGGGCGTCCAGGCTCTGCAAAAGGTTTGATGGCTCTGCTGACTGAGACCCTACAGGAGAGAAATGGCGAGTCACCGTCAACTTACTTTCTTCCCCAAACAACATGCAGAGAAAAGATGCTGACCTGTCTTGACGTTCATCATTGAATCGCCCCCATAAACACAACGAACTTTCCAATGAGTTGTTATCATAGAATTGCTTAGGTTGGAAAAGACCTTTAAGATCATCGAGTCCAACTGTTAACCCAGCACTGCCAAGGCCACCACTAAACCATGTCCCCAAGCACCACATCTCCCCGGCTTTTAAATCCCCCCAGGGATGGGGACTCAGCCCCTGCCCTGGGCAGCCTGGGCCAGGGCCTGACAGCCCTTTGGGGGAAGAAGTTTTTCCTAATACCCAACCCAACCCTGCCCTGGCGCAGCTTGAGGCCGTTCCCTCTCGTCCTACCCTTTTATGTTTGGGAATAGTTGAAGTACAGCCCTTGGACTCAAGAATATTTGCCTATTCCCAAACAAACAACAGCTTCCCTCCCTTGCTTTGAAAAGCAAGTTTCTAGCTGCTGATTTCCACAACTTTACTTTGGTGAGGGGAAAAAGGCAGCAAAACAGAGCTACAACTGCAGAAGCAACGCACAGGAGCCTGTGATCAAATTCCTTCCTTCACCACAACTCACCTCTTCCAGTTTATGTTGGAATAACGTTACCCTCTGTTCTGATTAACACACTTTTGTTTTCACACAGTAGTTACGACAGCAGCAAAAAGATTTTCAAGGCACGCGTCTAATATTCCCATCTTTAATAGCCCAGCTTGGTTTTGAACAGAAAGTACATGGAAAGCGGAAGTATTTACGATCAGCTGTTGCAGAACGAACGGCCATGGCGAACCGCCACGCACCGGCCCGGCACACAACCCCTGCTCTGCCCGGGGAGCCTCCCGCGCCCCCAAAGCCCGAGCGGCGGAGGCGACCCTCGCCCAGCCCCGCGCCCTTACCAGTTCTGGTCCCCGCTCCGCATGACGGAGGAGGCCAGGCAGAGCTTCTCGCGGATGGACCAGGGCTCGGTGGGGCCGGCGCTCAGCAGCTTGTGCTCTGCCGGGAGATGGAAGGGCTGCAGGGACCCGCGCCCCCGGGGACCCCCAGCCCGGAACCCCGACCGCTTGGCCC